TTAATTAAGGACTTAATTAATAATGTCAAACAAAAATTATTTTAAAGTTAATAATTATTTAAAACAAATGTTAACATATTTACATTTTTTTAAATATATGCTGAAAAAAATAAAAATCAAATAATGAAGAAGAAAATATTAACAAAAAAAAAAAATAAAGAAGAAAAATAGAAACGGGCCTGCAAAAAAAGTAAAACAGGGGGTGTAGAAATTAATAGGCCCGAATGCTTCTGGCTAATCCAGTGCAGCAACCCCCTGGAGGTTTACCATGGAGATGCATCTAAGACGCGTAGAAAGAGTGTGATAATTGATCAGAGGGATGGATGATGAGGGCGTATCAGGTTAACATGGGGGTGCAAGTGGGAGATTATTCAGGGCAACTAAAGAGGTGGTGATACGTGTCACCACCGGATTGGGTCAAAGTGTTGTTATCAAACAACACAAAACTCCACTATGCCTAAGTTAGGTTTCATAACTCATTGTTTTTTCTCTCTCTTGGACGCTCTGCCCTCTCTCTTCTCTCTCACCATGGGCCTTCACCGGAGAAGACCCTTTGGCCACGCCGAAAATCGCCTTACGGCAGTGACGGTGGTGGCGTGTCTCAAAACCTTACTTTTCTTACATTTTTCTGATTGTCTCTTTCTGCTAGTTACTAATTCATGATTAATTTCTGCATATTTTCACTTGGTGACCCTAAATCTAGAAATGTGGAAAATGAAACCCTAATTTTCGTTTGAGGAAATCGGCGAAGATAGCGATGCATGCAACAGTATATTCAATGAGAGGAAGGAAAGAGAAGAAAGATATCGTTTGGTGAGGTCCAGATCTACAACCTTACTAACCTCCTAATGTTCTTTTCTGTAAGATAGCTCTGACTCTGTATTTGTGAGTGACTTCTTTCTCCTTCTGAGTTCATGTTATCCTGGTTATCAGATTAGGGTTTTTGTTGTTTGCTGTTTTTTTTTGGATGATGGTTGGGATGGCTGTTTTTGATGAATGCTATGATTTTCCAGTTAATTTAAGACAAAGAGATTTCTTGAACTTTTTGTCCTGAGTTCTTTGTGGTTTTCTAGTTTGCTAGTTCTGTTTTGTTTTTTTGTGTGATGGTTCTATGATGTTTCAGTTAGTTTGAGACAAAAAGATTTCTTGAACTTTTTTGATTCTGAGTTTTTTTGTGGTTTGCTAGTTCTGCTCTGGTTTTTTTTTGTGATGATCCTATGATGTTTCATTTAGTTTTGGTGATGGTTTGATGATGTTTCAGTTGGTTTTGGTGATGGTTTGATGAATACTATGATGTTCTGTTGGTTTGGGGATGGTTTAATGATATTTCAGTTAGTTTTGGTGATGGCTTGATTATGTTTTGTGGATACTATGATGTTTCAGTTGGTTTTGGTGATGGTTTGATGATGTTTCAGTTGGTTTTGGTGATGGTTTGATGAATACTATGATGTTCTGTTAGTTTGAAACAAAGAGATTTCTTTAATTTTTTTGGTTCTGAGTTTTTTGTAGTTTTTCTATTTTTGCTAGTTCTGTATGTGTCTCCCCCTGATATCTGATGGTTCTCTCCTCTATAAAACTGTAAAAACTTGTTATCTGATTAGGGTGAAAAAATAGGAGGGAAAAAACTTTGAATTTTGACAGTTTTGGCTTTTCTAGTTTTTGGCTTTTGAGTGTAGCTTGGACTATTTCCATTTTGGTGCAAGTCTGGGCATTTTTGGACTGTATTGCAGACTAGTTGCTATGGTTTATGTTGACATGCTTTTGTGCAGAATTTGGACAGATTTTTGGACTGCTATGGGCAGCATGGGGAAGCTTTTTAAGCAGGTCTTCTTGGACTGTTTCTTATAGCAACCTGTTTGTCTTGACATTTGCTGGCTAGGTGATATCTTTCCTCTTTCCTCTCTTTGTGAGATAAAGCGTTTTTGCTTTTGATTCATTTCTGAAGGGTGTGCTTATTTTCTTGGGAAAATGATGATGCTGACTTATATTACATCACTTGATGCTTTTGGCTTGGTGCTTGCATATTGTTTGTTTTGTTCTATTGTAGCTTTGTGTTGCTGCCTTTGATTTCTGATTTGGACAGCTTGCTTGTTGTCTGCTATTTGCAGCCTGTTGCCTTGCATCTTGTGCTGCTGTAATTGCTTTGCAAAGCACTACCCTTTTTTGTGATGCAGTTTGGATGTTTGGTATTGTTTGACTTGTGCATTTTGACTGCTGTTGTTTGAACTTGTTGCCTTGCCCGTCCAATTTGTATATTTATTTCTTTTTCCCCTTTTTTGTGAACCAAAACCTAGGTTTTGAGATTTGCAGAAATAGGGAAAAATGGACAAACAAAATTCTGATTCCTAAAAGCAAACCCTAATGATGAAAAATCAAATTTGCTTGGACTTTTCAATATTGATTTTTGCTAATATTTTCTTTTCTTCTATCACATGTATAAACAAATGGCAAGCAAGACAATGGCTAGCAATGGGGAATTTCTTGAGGATGAAGCAAGGAGTCTTGAAGAAGAAACAAATTTTCCTTTGTAGATTTAAACTTTGTATTTTACTTGTAATTTTGTAATCATTTGTGAAAGACCCACAAAACTGTAATGAACAAAGCTTGAGTAATAATGAAAATTTGTTGTACAAAACTTCTGAGTTTCATTTTAATTTTGCAATTCTTGATTTGAATGTTTTGAATAAGCATCCTGGCTTAATAACTTTCACTTCAAGTAAACATAATATGATAGGATAAATCATGTATCTTGCACTCTTAAACAAAAATAAATGTTTAAAAGCTCAAACCCAAATGATTAATTGAACCCTCAATCAAGATTGCTTAAAGATGATAGCTTTAGACCTTGCACCTTATTCAAACAGAATATGCCCTCAAAAGTAAAATCAATCTTCAGAAGATTATAGTTAAGAAAACAAATAGAAATCACACAAATGCCTTTGCAGTTATCTGGGCCATGGATTGGGCAAACCTTTGAGAAGTGCAAAAAACCTAATTGCTGACTGGTTGCCTAGGAAGAGAATCTGTTTGATCAACTTTTGAGCCAAATTGAGTATTTAAGAAACTCTGGGATAACATCTTATGTGAAAAATGGGAGGGAAAATTTTGGGGTACAACAGGATCCATCTTGGATATCAATAGAGTAGTATGGGTCAACATGTACTGTCTTAGTCGACGAGCAGCCCATGCCAAAGCGCAACAAGTTTTCTAGAACAGTGAGTATCGTGTCTCACATTCGGTAAACTTTTTTCTAAGGTAGTATATTGCATGCTCTTTTTGACCAGACTTGTCATGCTGCCCCAGCACACACCCCATTGAATTGTCTAGCACTGTTAAGTATAATATCAAAGGTCTTCCTTCAACCGGAGGCATCAGAATTGGTGGTTCTTGAAGGTATTCTTTGATTCTTTCAAAGGCCGTCTGGAATTCTTCATTCCACTTTACCACTTAATCTTTCTTCAGAAGCTTGAAGATGGGCTCACAAGTAGCAGTTAGACGTGAAATGAACCTGGCGATATAATTCAAGCGCCCCAAGAAACCTCTAACTTCCTTCTTTGTACGGGGAGCCGACATCTCTTGTATGGCATTTACTTTTTCGGGATCTACCTGAATACCTTTCTCACTGATGATGAAGCCTAGAAGCTTACCAGACCTCACCCCAAAGGTGCATTTGTTCGGGTTCAACCTCAGCTTGTATGTCTTCAACCTGTCGAACAACTTTTGTAGATGATCAAGGTGCTCCTCCTTGGTTTGAGACCCAGCTATCATGTCATCAATATAAACCTCTATCTCTTGGTGAATATATCATGGAATAAGGCGACCATGGCTCGTTGATAAGTTTCCCCAGCATTCTTCAACCCAAAAGGCATCACCTTGTAACAGAAGGTGCCCCACTGTGTGACGAAGGTTGTCTTCTCCCTGTCTTCAGGAGCCATCTTGATCTGGTTCTAGCCAGAGAAACCATCCATGAAGGAGAACATTTTATGTTGAGCGGTGTTGTCAACTAGAACATTAATATGGGGAAGCGGGAAGTCATCCTTGGGGATTTCCCTGTTCAGATCTCTGTAGTCCACACACATCCGTACCTTACCGTCTTTCTTTGGCATTTGGACAACATTAGCAACCCGCTGCAGATAGGAAGTGACAGCTAAGAACCCTGTGTCGAACTGCTTCATGACCTCTTCCTTGATTTTCTCTGACATTTCAGGGCGCATACGGCGGACCTTCTGTTTAACTGGAGGACAATCTTCTTTGGTCGGCAGACGATGAACCACAATATCAGTGTCTAAACTAGGCATGTCTTCATATGACCAAGCAAAGATCTCAATATAGTTGTGCAACATCTGTATCAATCGCTGTTTGGTCTTACCCCCCATGTTTGCGCCGATCTTGACTTCTTTTCTGTCCTTTTCCCTGCCCAATTTTATTGTCTCAACTGGCTCTTCATGGGGGTTGTATAGCCCTTTCTTCCTGCTGTAACAGTCTAGCAAGTTCTCCAGGTACCTCACAATCGTCCTCGCCTTCGTCCTCGGCTTGGTTGATCATATTTTCGAAGTCATAACCGGCAGTAGTAGAACTATTATCAATGGGATCCAGAGTGGATACGAATCTGCAGTATGAGATGTGAGTGTGTGTACACTACAAGAAAATTAGGATTTTACGACACAAAAATTGCGACAGTTACTTAATAACCGTCGTAATTCTAATATAGGGACCCATGTCACGACGGTATACACCTACCGCCCTAAAATGAATGTTGCGACGGTTAAGAAACCGTCCTAAAATAGACATCACGACGGTAAAACAACCGTCGCCCCCCTAAACCTTTAAAAAACATGCAAAAGTTATGAAAGGGCACGACGGTAACCACACCCGTCGTCCCCCTAAATCCTTTACCCCGCTTCGTCTATTTCTCTTTTTATTTATTGTTCACGTATCTTTCTCCAAATTTCTTCATACTTTTGCTTTTTCTCTGTACAAACTTCAACCACATCAATTCGATGAGAACCTTAAGAAGCTTCGATGGCTTCCCTTTAAATTTGAGCAACTTCTATGGTGGCTGCGCTATTCTTCTTCTTCTTCTTGTTGTTGTTACTTTATTGTTTCTTCTGAACCGTAAGAGCAGATCCCTGTTGGCGTCCTCTTTGATCTCCGATTCTAGCAATTTAAACCCAAGGTCTACTACTCTACTTTATTCATTTTATTTTCGTTCAATTTCATACGCTTTACTGAAATTGGGGCTTTTTAGGGTTTACAATTGCAGAACCTCAAACACTGTCACTGATGCTGATTTGAAGTTTTTAATGGATGAAATTCTAAATCAGAACCATAAATGGGAGGATGTCATAGATAAAACAAATCATCATCTATGCTACAAAGCTAAATCCACCAAACCTAAGGTTAAACTCTCCACTCACTATCGCTCATACCTTTCCTGCTTCTTTTCAACTATCTAAGACATGAAAAACTAATACTTTAACTAGACACCCGCTGAAGAACTTGTTGTCCTTGGATGTTGCAGAATGGTCCCCTGAAATATTGGAGTATGACTGTGTTCAATGATATTTCCGCCGAGATGCTAAGAAACTTCTACATGGACAATCACTACAGAAAGCAATGGTTTGATGCAGCATTTTGTTTTGTTCTTTTGTTTTCCTCTGATAGGAAATCTAATGGTGTAGGCAATGCTTTAATTGTTAGTACAAGTAGAAATAAGCCTGATGTAGTCAAGGTTTTTACTGATAGCAGTGGACACTTGGGTTGGTGACTTCGTAATGGATAGCGATAAAATGGTAGTGATAGTAGAAACTTTGAAGATGGCATAATCATTTTCCCCTGTATTTGCACTTGTGTTGTACAGGAGGAGAGGTGCACGAGTATTGAAGTGGAGCCAAGTGTCCACTCATGTCATGGCTAAGGCAATGTTGTGTATTTCTGGGCCAGCGCATTATTAAATTTGGAGGTTCGCTTTTCAAGTGATATAATGTCACAACCTTCTGCTGAGGATGGTTAGCAGCACAATGAATTTTGGCAATAACTTTTAGATGTCTGCCCCAGAGATTTATATTTGACTTTGTTTTTATGCTTTCTGTTCTTTATCGTTGCAGTCATACACTAGTAGTTTTGTTGAATTTAATTTTATAAGTGTAAGATTTTTACTCATCAAATCAGATTCTACTATGTAGATATTTGTAGGATATTTTAAAAACTTGAGTGATTGACATTATGAAACTTTTTTATTTTATTTAAAAAAAAGAAGACAATTTTGTCTTAAATCTTTAGCTACCAACTTCTACAGACAAATTGGAAAGATGAAACTGCCAAGGTGCATCCGGAAAGATAATATTTTTATCCTCTTATATATCACTGCAGATGTAGTAGTACCTAACTTTATGGATAATGGAGAATGGGGGATGTAGTAGTAGTACCTATCTTTATGGATATTAAGAGTGTGACACGGGATGGAGAATGGGGATGTAGTAGTAGTACCTATCTTTATGGATATTAAGAGTGTGACTTGGGAATACTATTTCCTTTTCTATTGCTGCTGATAAAAGTTAACATTATCATGGCTCTGCAAATTTCCTTTGATTCCAAGTCCATCGCTTTTGTTGTTTGTTTTGAAGCTTCTGCATTTTTTCTTTGCTCTTTTCTTTGATGCTATGTTCTTTCTTTTTGTTAAAAAAAGCTTATATATATTCTTTACTGCTTTTTGTTTGTTGTTTTGACGCATTTTCTTCTTGCTTGCAATGGCGTATAGAAAACACAAAATGCTATGAATTCTGTCAGGGACATCGATACACAAAATGCAGATATTTAATAGCTCTGCTTTGCATTTTTTTTAAAATCAGAAGATAATTCCTTCAAGTTCTTCATAAGAAAATTTCAACTCTGGGCGAGTTATGATAAGTATTACATATAAAGCTTATTCCGTTTAAAGAATATATAATTTTTCAAATGAAAAGAAACCTCACAATTCTAACTGTTTGCCACTCCAAACCAGCACAACTCAACTCTGGCTTAACAATGTTCAAGAGAACAACAATGATTTATTCATTTTTTGTTGATAATCACAACAGATAAATGAGATGAGATACTCCATCACGTGAATGTATTTTGTAGGAATGTGCGAGTCTTGTGCTTAGGGCCAACTTCTGAATCTGATGGTTCTGAAGTTGGTCGTACAGTTAAGAAAATAGTGTGTTTTGTTTCTGTATGTTGTTATGAATCGCAATAGCTTAACATGGTTTTCTCTTTTTTGCCACTGTTTCAGGGTCAGACTCCATTGTTTCCTCGTATTTTTGGTCATGAAGCTGGAGGGTATATGCTTCTCTTCTGATAAAATGTCTTGATTATTTAGTGTATCAGTAATTTAGTATGTAATGTGAATGAATGATGTTTATCAGGATCGTGGAGAGCGTAGGTGAAGGTGTGACTCATCTGAAACCAGGGGATAAAGCCCTGCCTATATTCACAGGGGAGTGTGGTGAATGTCCACATTGTAAGTCAGAGGAGAGCAACATGTGTGATCTTCTTAGGATCAACACTGACAGAGGTGTCATGCTCAATGATAACAAGTCTAGATTCTCTATCAATGGAGAGCCCATAAACCATTTCGTGGGCACCTCTACATTCAGTGAGTACACAGTGGTTCATGTTGGATGTGTTGCAAAGATCAATCCTGAAGCACCACTTGACAAAGTTTGTATTCTCAGTTGTGGAATATGCACAGGTATATATATACAAGATCCCTAGCTTCAGATATTTATATAAGCTATGACTTTGAACGGGATTGTCACATGTATTCCCAGCCAGCTAATCTGCATTTTTGTAACAGATTGTGCCTCTCAGGCCAAAATTGATTTAATTTTTGCTTGTTATTTCAGCAATTAGTTGGCTACTCTCGTTCTGCAGCACTTGATCTACAGCTCGCAACACTTGCTCTGCATTACACGATCCCTATGCTCACAGTCCTTGCCTCTCGCCCTCTCCTTCGCTTTTAGTTGCATTTTTCCTGCACGTGTCTGATTCCTACTATGTCTTAGACTTCACCGTCACAGTCTGATCATTTGGCTTCTTCACAATTTGGTGAGTGATAACAAAAGTTTTTATGAAGTGAATTCTTTTCTTTTAAAGCTAAATTACCTGAGTTTGAACTGTGAAGATCTCCAAGGATTTCCTCTTCAAATTTCATTACTGAATTTTTATTAGATGTTATCTTCAAACCAACCACATGTGCATGGCTATGATATTTCTTACAGTACAGTACATTATTGATTTCTTTGCATGTTTAACTTGTAGTGAAGTTCTAAACAAAATGAGGCTTCAATAACAATATTTCTATCTACAGATAATAAAAAAATTCGCTAACCATGTTATATAGGTTAAAAATATTAATGAACATTTAGAAGTATATAGTATGAGTACACGTTCATAAATCATAATTTTATTATACTTTTATGTGACTGAATTTTGAATTATCCATGGTTAAAAGCCTAATATCTAGTTAAGTTTATATTGTGACTTTTTTGCTGCTCCCCTGTTGTGTTTTTATGTTGTCTGTTGGAAAATTTTGCAATGATGGGTAATACATTCTCCGGTTAACTGGCTTCTTGAGAATTTCTAGGCTGCAGTTAGTTTTTGTGGTTTATGGATGTAATTTTCTGTGTTTTTATCTAGTTTTGTTGGAATGTCTTGTTCTCGGATTTAGTGGCTTTTATATTAATTTTGTTGATTTAGAAAAAGGTTTTGATTTTGTATTAGTATCATGTTTTCTTTAGAAGATCTTGTTAGTGAATTAAGTTTATTTCCTAAATGATAGTTTAGTCTTTAATGATATGTGAGGAGTAAAAAATTATGCTTCTAATTACTTACTTGGTTTCATGATTTCTTTCATTGATTTTGTGCTCATTTGTAATTTTGAAAAGTAATGCTTGTAATTTGCAGACTTATAAATTTATTACAGACCAAACGGTCTTTTTTCAAGGACAAGATTGGACCTCCACTCCTGATTGTATTTGCATTGATCTCTTTGGTTACATTTTCAGAAACCCAAAAGAAGAGCATCTGTATCTTATGGGGGAAGGTCTGGTGGCTTGCCAGAGAAATCACAACGCTCCCGCAGTATGTCTGTTAGTCCTGACCGGGCTCGTGCGCGAGGAAGATCTCCGGCCTTCAATGCCTTGGCAGCTACTTTCGAGAGCTCAAATGTTAGAAACCTTTCAACTCCACCTCCAATGATTAGAAAACTGTACCCAAAATCTAAGACACCAGATTCATCATCACCAACATCTAAATCTTCATCCATATCTAACATTACTTCTGCTTTTGAACGGCCATCAGCACGAGGAAGTTTGTTTCCTAGGTCGATTAAAGGTACGAAGTAGACGAGCTCATTGTGATTTTATTTTATGCTGCTGTTAGAATTTGTTCTTTTATAAAATATGCTTATTCTTTTGTCTGGTCTGCTATGATTTGAATGGAGTACAGGTACCTCCAAATCGGACCCAGAGACAAATAGTGACAATGAGAATTCTACGAGCAGCATAGAAGAATCTCTTACTATACAGGAAGATGTGAAAGAAGGTGAAGCTGAAGATAATGAAGGTCTTCCAGTATACCCATATGAAAGTGTTAACACAGACTCTACCGATCCTATGCCAGACATTGACGTGACTAAACAGGAGGTATACTATAACGACAACATGTCTTTTTGTTGTTTTTCCTCCATTCTTTGTAGGTTACATCTTAGAATTAAGTCATGATTTTTTAATTTTGATTCTGACTTGTTTGAGGTTGGTGCATGCAGGCTTACCTGTCAAACGACGTGTTCAAAGAGAAACTGGGAATGGCCAGGAGCGAATTTTACACGTTGCCAAAATGGAAACATAACAAACTCAAAATGGCTGTTCAGTTGTTCTGAGTCAAGTATACTTAACCACATGATTTTCTTTGTAGTGGTTTGATGTATAGGCTTATTTCTTTGTTCATAGCTGCTTGGTATTAATTTTGTGTAGGGAAACAAGGGCTGTTGGTGAGCATGTCTTTTTGGGTTCCTTGTTAGTCATTTTTTAATTCAAAATATTTTTGGTGAAGCAATTGAGCTTTGCAATACCAAGGTTGTATTGATAGTTGAGGTATAAAGTTTGTACAGCAGAGTGTAAAAGCCACTCAACTCATTATATTTATTTTGGAAATAAAATATGATTCTTCAAAATTATTCCTTCTAAGAGCGTCATCTGATATAGATCATTTTGATCGTATCTTACCAGTCTTTCTCTTCCTATGGTACATTAAAGAAAAAAATAACACAAAAAAAAACTATATTTAAAATTTTTTACATAGATAATAATTTAAATAAAAAATATATATAATAGAAAAATAAAAAAAAATCAAGACATAAACAAAACTCATGGCGACAGTACCGAACCGTCGTAATCAACAATTAAAAATAATCAACAAAAGTCATGACGGTATCGAACCGTCACCATAAACAATTTAATCAATTTCAAAAGATATTCACGACAGTATCGAACCGTCGCCATCAATAATTAAAAGAAACTCAAAAGATAGTCACGATGGTATCAACCCGTCGTAAATTTGAACGATAGTTTTTGTAACCGTCGCGAAATAGGTTGGGGACACACACTTCTGCGACGGTAAAGCAACCGTCGTGGAAAGCAAATTGCGACGGTTTTAACCGTCGTAATCTACAAAAATACCTGTCGCAATCTGCCAATTTTCTTGTAGTGGTAAGAGTATAGCTGTTTTGATAAAGTGAAAGCAGAAAAGAAAAACAGGGAGCGTAAAATTTGTATGCAAGGAACGTCCAATGCTTTATTGATGATATATGAAATGAAAAATAATGGCCCTCACAAACAAAGCCAATGTGCCTCGGGCAAGGCACAAGGTTGTAGAGTTTAAATTGTTTATTACAAATCTCAAAACAAGTAAGACAATTACTGTGGAATAAAAGAAACTGGTATAAAATCCCTAGTCGTCCAGTTACTCGGTCCACTGTTGGTAGTTGGATAGATCCAGTTGTCAATGTCAAAGTCTTCCTCACTGTCTTCAATGGCATTAATTCCCCGATTGCTGATGCGTAGGGGAGGTCCTCCAGCTCGAGCGCGTCAAACATCCCTTTGAGCTCCTTAAATAAAGCCCAAACCAAACTTGTCAGTTTTGTGAGTAAAATCAGGGAGTTGTCCCCAGTTGGTATACCCACCTTCTTCAACCACTGCTCTGGCGTCTTTGAAAGAAGCCATCTTCAGAGGAGGTTTGTTGCTGGTAGTAGTTTCAGTCGATGCCAAGATCTGGGGAACCTCTTCAAAATTCTGGCAAGGAGTCTCTATGAATTCCCCGTCAATCTCTACGTATCTGAAGGAGTTGAGGTGGCTCACCATATACTCCTCTTCCCCACGCACAGTGACAATCTTCCCATTTACTGGATACTTCAGCATTTGATGCAGTGTAGAAGTAATGGCCCCACCTTCATGGATCCAAGGACGACCCAACAAACAAGAGTATGACGGTCGGATGTCCATTACATAGAAAGTGGACTCAAAAGTCTGAGAACCTACTTTGATGGGGATGTCTACTTCCCCATGCACCATTCTCTTTGACCCATCAAAAGACCTTACCACAATGTTACTAGGATTTAAGGTCAAGCCCTCACAATCTAGTCGGTCGAGAGCTTTCTTCGGCAGGAAATCTTGTGAAGACCTAGTATCTACTAGCACATGAGCCATAGTGGTGCCCCTTTATTCGATCGAGATATGCAGAGCATCATTATGCTTCCTCCCTTTTGTGTCAAATCTGCATCTGAAAAACCCAGCCCATTGTCAGCAGTCAGGCTGGCCACACAGTCTTTGAATTGATTGGCAGAGGTTTCTTGCGGCACATGCGCAGTCTTGAAGAATGCAATCAAAGCCTTTGCATGGGCCTTGGAACATAACAACAGAGACAACATCAATATCTTTGAGGGGGTCTTCCCCAGCTGCTCGACCATATTGTAGTTGCTCTTTTTTATTATTTTCAATATTTCCTCTATCTCTTGCTTAGAGGCTTTTACGACAATTTTTTCTAGGTGCCTCCGTCCGGGCAGGCTCACCTATAACTTCTTTGCCTCGGGTACCATATGACTCGCCGGCAGGAGTAACAATCGGAGTAAGAAAAGGAGTAGTAGTTGAAGCATCGGTAGGAATAGCAGGTGAAATAACAACAGGCCTATTGACGGTCTTTGGGGAAATCTTGGGAGAGAAAACCCTTCCACTTCTGGTGATCTTACTGCTCCCGACAATGTTACTGACATCGGGATCAACCTCTTCGTTCTTCAGGTCTTGTTTAATGCCATGATAGTAGACATCGGCGCCATAATGCTAGGGGACAACTTTGTCCGAGGCGTATGGGACAGGACCAGGAAGGGTGATTATTAGCGGAGCGACTCTCGGAGCAGATGTGATCCTAACAGGTCTTCTCGAGGAGACCTTGGAAAGATTGGCGGAAATGGTTATAATTGCAATATCTTCACATGGAATAGTTGGAATAAAAGTTTTCTCGAACAAAATCTCTCTGCTGTCCATCAGGCATTGAACACCTGTTTTCAGCAAATGGAAACCGGAAGGCATAGATGAACACACGTGGCAAACTTCACCACAACCCGAAAATAAACTGGCCATCAAAAAATTCTTCTTAATAGTCATCAGAGGAGTAGAAACTTCATCAACTGAGGTTACATACAGATCGGTATCAACAACATTAACTCCACGACTGTGCTTGGGCATGGGAGCAGTTATGGCATTGGGATTTTCTGGAGCATCGAACTCAATTTCCTTGGCCTTGATCAGATCCTGTACCTTATTTCTCAGAGCCAAACTGTCATTTGTATCGTGGCCAGGACTCTCAGAATGGTAGGCACACCGAGCATTTGGATTATATCGAGGAGATGTGGTATTCAGATTCTTGGGAGCCTCTTTCAAGGTTGCCAAGTTGGATCTTAACATATGGGGTAGAACTTCAGCCAACGTCATGTTAATCTGGGTAAATTGCTGTTGTGGTCTTTCCACCCTTTGTTGATTATTTAGTTGTGGAGCAGCCGCAGGTCTAGGTATCATTATAACACTTACTGTTTGACGGTGTTCAACTCTGCTTTGGCCTCTCGGGCTATAGATGGCACTGGCTTCCTTCTTACCAGTAAAAGGATTCTTTATTGAACTCGAAGAGGCATCTTTCTATATCTTACCGCTCCGAATCCCAGCTTCTACCCTTTCTCCTGTTAATATCAGCTCAGTGAAACCAGCTGATGAGCTGCCAATCAAATGTTTAAAGAAAGGACCAGACAACGTCCCAAGAAACATATCGACCAACTCCCTGTCAGATAAAGGGGGTTAGACTCTCCCAGCCAAGTCTCTCCACTTCTACGCATACTCCTTAAATCCTTCACCTGCATCCATGGTCATACTCTAGAGTTGAGTACGAGTGGGGGTAAGGTCGGCGTTATATTGATACTGCTTATAAAAAGCAGCGGCCAAATCCTCCCAGTTTTGGACATTGGTTCTTTCCAGTTGGTAGAACCATTCAAGCCGAGTCCCTGACAGATGGTCTTGAAAGAAGTGAACCCACAAGTTTCTATCAGCGGTGTGGGACTGGATCTTCCTTACATAGGAAAGGAGATGGAGTTTTAGGCAAGACACCTCATCATACTTTGCAAAAATTGGAGCCTTGAGCTTATGCGGGATGGCCACTCCCAACACCAATCCCAGTTCTTCGAAATCCAACCCAGGTATCCTCTGGATTTCCATAGCACTCAGACGATCCTCCAACTGCTTATATTTATCCTTAGTAGGAGGATACTGCTCATCATTGTAGTATGTATCATTTTCAGAAACTTCAGGACTGTGGTCCTTTCCCTTGTCTCTCTTTCTTGATTCTCCCCTTCCTTGGATGAAAAGGTCAGATCAACTGGTTGCTTTAACTTCGCCCTGAACCTTCTGCCCATATTCAGAATACCAGAGACCTCTTCTTTTTCTTTTTCTCCTTCAGGATGAGGGCTTTCAGATCCTCTTGCCCTTTCACCAGATTTATGAACATCTATTGGAATTGGGCATTTTGTGCCTGAAGATCTTTGATGCTTTATTCAGAAGACATTTCTGCTGAAATAGACAGCGAAGAAGATGAAAATCCTGTAATGGTACCTGTATATGCAGTGTTTATGGATGGGATGCGTATGTAATGATTTCAAAGACTTAGGGAAATTTAAATTTGCGAACCAAAATGAAACAAATATTTCATTAGTAGAATTCAAAGTTCAATTTCCTTTTAGGCATTACAATTAAAACAATTCTAAAAAACTAGAAAAGTCAAATTTCCCATGGACGCTTCCTCTTTGTGCCGAGATAGACATTAAGGCTTCTTTCCTCATGAAGCTGCCTTGTGAGCTCTAAAACCTTCCTCTCCTGGGTATAGAACTGATCCCTGTAAGTATCCCGCTCCTTCTTCAACTGAATCCAAGACCTCTGTAGTTCTCCAAGATCAGTGGGCATATCAGGATGGGGAACCGTGTAAGGAATACCCCCTTCAGTAGTGGGTTCCACAATCACTGGTAAAACGTCCATGTAGGGCATCATAAGTTTCTGGGCGCGAGCTCGTACGCATTGGAGATAAGGTTCAATAGGAATGGAAGCCTTCGGCCCCAAAGCCTTGGCACCAGATCTGTTTACCATGCTCCAAGCTCATATGAACCTCTGGCGATACCCTTGAACATCATCCTCATAATTAAATACAATTCCCTCGATAAGTAACTCATGGGGACCATCCCTTCGGGCATAACCAAATTGTCGTAGAGCTAAACAAGGATTGTAAGTTATTCCTCCTCTAATGCCAAGTAATGGGACATTAGGGTACTCCCCGCATCGGTCAATAATA